GTGTGCATTCATATCCTGCATTTCTTGTAACAGGACACAAGATTGCATACTTTGAGACCCTGCCATTTCCCAGTCTGAAACAGACGAGACTCAGCCTTTCAGCTAGACCACTACATGATGTCCCTTCAAAACCAAGCTCTGATCTGGGGGGATCTTATTCAAATTCATGTAAAATTAAGCCTTTGCATGCTCGTGGTAACAAATAAAGCAGGGGATATTGTAGAGAAGAGCATTTTGTGTTCCTGCAGCTCATGTTCCATTTTTCAGCACAAAGTAAATATGACATTTAAACGACTTGCCCAAGGGAAATGTTCCAAGAAAAGAGTGAGAAGGGGGATTCTCTTTAACTAATAAACATCAGAATATTTCTTGCCTGCTTGTGAATGGGAAAAGAGGCAAATATAGGGCACAGCAGTCTTTGCCATAGTCCTACATAGACTAGAGTTTGACTCAGTTTCATTCTGAAAGTGGGAAGTTATAAGGCCAGATAAGTTTTAAACTTGAATTAGTTAAAGTGGGAAGAGCCACGCCTCTGTGTAGCACCAAATTACATATCTGTGCATGGTGCTACAGTCAAAAACAGCATCCCTTTCCAGGGTTTATACAAAATGAGCAGGTATGAACTTAGTTACATGCATCTAGTGGCCAACTTCAATTCAGTAAATGTCTGCTCAAGGTAGTAAGGATAATGAAGAAAAAAAAAAATCCTAAGATGCTACAGGAATGCTGTGTGCATTTATATACTTCCCTCGGTGTTTACTGCAGGACTCTGGAGTGTAATACTTACTAAGGAAGAAATTAATACACAAAATGTGAGTAAGAGTTGTACAAACATTATTCAATGTCACATTAAAACTGACTTATGTTTATATGAGCCAGTTTAAAATGATATACCAGAAGATGTGTTGTGTTTGTTGTTTGTTTGTATGGGTGGGTTTGTTTTGAGAGGGAATGATGCTGGTAGCAATTATGAAGAGTTTAAAGCAGGGTCGCTAAATATATACAGGTTCCACAGAAAAGTAGGTAGCAGACAATAAAGCACATCCATAGCATTTAATCTTTTTCTTTTTTTAATTAGTGCTCTGATGTAACATGAGCCCCAGACTCTCACCAACATTAGATACATATTGTTTTAAAAGCTTGCTTTTGTCACAGAGTGCAAAACATAATTCAAAGCTGCATAGCTAGCTGCTGCTGCCAAAAATGGGAATCTAACTGGCCCAGATTCCAAAATAGCACTCAAAGAAAGTGTCTGCCCTGTCAAGTTAACCTTAATGCAAGAGCAAACCATGACTAGTTGGTAACACTGAGAGCTGTAGGTGTTTTTAAAATTTAAACATGCATAGAATTGTGTCCTAAGCATACTTCATTCCCTTGACTGTTTCTTTAAAATTATTTTTATTTTTATAAATAATAATAACATAAAATTGTTTAAACTTACTTCAATACATTGGATTTTAAAGTGCTTTAATATTTAGGGGACTATTTGGATAATCACTCCCCCCCCCAAAAAAATAGAGAATCCTCCCCCCCACACACACACACCGGACGATCCTGGTTTGGCCACTTCCCTATTTGCTTGCCACATCTATTCTCTTTGAATTCTGAGTTCTGAAGCTTGACTTTAGAATTTAAGGGTGCAATCTTATGCTTGTTTAGACCGAAATAAGTCCTACAACCCCCAGTATCCCCAAGCAAGCAGGAAACGATTCTGCTCAGTTTGGGTATCAAGAGATCCAGACCAAAGGGGACTGCTGTGTAATAGTCTCAAACTACTCAAGGGGCCAGTGGTAGATCTATTAGCAAGCTTGGTCAGGGGGAAAGTTAATTGTAAACCCCCACTCAACTATGAAGTTATCTCTTGGGCTAGCTTTCTCCAACTTGGTGACCTCCAGGTAGCCATACTGGCTGTGGCTGATGGGAGTCATAGTTCAAAACATCCAGAGGGCACCAGATTGAGAAGGCTAGATGATTAACCTAATTTTAAAAGACAAAGAAAAATGTGATTTGGGTATAATTACTGTTCTGTGCCTCAAGGAGGAAGCACTTTTTAAAAATGTTTTTTAAAAGTCCAATTTGCTGTGTAACAGTGGGCAACACAGCAAATTAATTTCCTAACTTTCTTTGCTCAGATTCATTAATGCCATTTCAGACAAGATGGTTTTCCTACACAGGTATCACTTTGAGACAGTAAATACTGTGACTGCATTGTGATGAATAATGGATGCTCATCTATCTGTTTAGTCCCACGCAGATAGCAAAACCGCTTGGATGCATTCGTCACACATGTTGCTTTATGGGTTTGTCCTGTGGACGCCACACCATCCTCCCCTTCATGAGTTACATAAAGGGAAACTCCCATCCACATAATGCATCCTTTTTAAATTAGCCAAGCCAAACAGCATGTCTAGCTGTTCTAAGTCCCTGTTATGTAACTGTTATCCACTGCTCATAACCAGAAGCATCAGAAAATCCTTCCACGGCACCTTTAGCATATTATCATAGTTATCCTGAATAACACTAACAAGGGAAAAGTAGACTCGGGGCACAACCATATGCATATTTTGACACGGACAAAACTGTGCAACTGTCAACACTCCCCGGTTAGCCATCTGGAAGCAGGAATACAAATCTGACAGCAGGTACAGCAACAGCCAAACACCAGTGGGAGAACATTTCAGACCACCAGGACACTGCCCCAAGACTTTGTAGGCAGGTTAACACATCTAAATTAGCCACCGAGGGTCGCTTGTTCATGCATCAACCCATGTTATTCCTGATACATGATCAGAAGCACAGAGGCTTGGGATGGCTTCTTTCCTCCTCAGTCTCCCTGGTAGCTTCCCGAATGTATCATTGTTCTTTGCATGGCAACTCATCCCTAACCTGGAAACTTCCCCAGTGTACTCCCCACTCTAATTGCTTTTGGAGTACTTCCCTCATTTGCTACTTTTTTTAAAAAAGAAAAGTATCATTTCTGCACTACAGTCTTTCACAAGGGCAGATTCAGTTATCTACTATGTATAGTCTTGTCTCCTTGTATGTTACAACTATCAAAAGTTAGTGTTCAAATGGAGAAGGTAACAAACAAACTGCCACAACAAGGAAAAAAGCCAGTGCACATGCTAATCTGCTTGCATTTGCAAAGGGCTAAAGTAAAAAACAATGAACCCATTTGCCTTCCTCATTTTGACATTTCCCAAAAACAAGTTAGGATGGGAAGCAATAACTTCCACTTGTCAACTCCCTTGGGATTCACTGAGATGTTGGAAGGAAGAGATACTGTCACAGGAAGACTTCATTTCCCATTTCTTTTCCAAAGTAAGCTATTGTAGCAAGTTCTAAAATGTGATGTGAATTAGCAAAGACACAGCCATCCCCGATGTTTTCACGAGCTGAACGAACAACCAAACAATGTGCCTGATTTGCATGTAATGATTTGTGGTTTTGACCCATGCATTGTTGGGGCCGCATGCAAGCACAAACACCAGCACCTGCCCATTCACCACGTTGCATCTGCTCAGGCAAACAACCGAGGAACACCACATCCCAGTTCCTCATTGCTTGATGCAGCATGAAAACCTGGAAGTCTGGGGTGCTGAATGGGAAATATCCTAGCATTTTAATCAAACAACACACCATGCATTCAAACTCTGGGTTATGTAAGCTTCAACCACCCAGAGAACTTCCTAACAACTTAGGAACAGGGCATTCCTGGGTTGTTTCCCAAAGCAGATGCAGAATGGAAGCAGCAGATTGGAGGCCACACTTTTGCTTGTGGCTCCAATAATTCACAAGTTAAATAACTCGTGTATTGTTGTGCGCAGATTGAGTCAATGGGTATCACCCCTCTGAAGCAAGGACTTCCACTCATTTCCAGTTCCACGCTGGTTTTTCCCCCGAGAACTTAGGGCAGTCTAACCTGCATGAGGACATGAAATACCACACTTAGGAAGGGCGGCTACTTAAACAATAGGGAGGAAGTGACCCCGGGCAAAGTCCTGTGGGTATGTCTCCTGGGAAGATGCATTGTATAAATGCTTACCTAAATTCACTTAACTCCAACTAGTTCGTGACACCAATCATCCTTTTGCAGACACCAAGGGTTGAATCCAGATTTAGTCAGCCTTGGAAAAGGCCCCTTGGAATCAATGGAACAAGTTAGTCTAAGCATGACTAAATCTAGATTCAGCCCATATGGATTGGACTGGATTCTAGCCAACGTTGCACCCCATTCCACAATTCTCTCAAATGACTAAGCAGGATTTTACAGAGCACTAAGGACTGTGAATGCACAATAATTATTCCAGAATTATTGTTTTACTTAACATATTACCTGTACGTAATCCGATCCGTACAATACCGCCTTTAGACAATAGACCCTGCTCATTTTAAAGCGCTGCCTGATCTGAACTTGCTTCCTAGTCTTAAACCTACGTAAATTCCATGGAATTCAGGGCGGTTTTCGCCCATGTAAAAAGTAGCCCCGCAGGTCCAGTCCGATTTGCGTCGAATGCCTCTTGCTGATCTTCCATGGCCTCTGAAAATCGTGGTAAGGGATCGTCTAAACAACCCCTGTCGTGTGATCAGTGTGAGCATGGATTATTTTAAAGCCAGAGACAAGCCACGGAACTTTGGAAAAGAATGCTTTGAAGCATGTACAGATTGCCTCTGCCTTTCCCACGTCAATGAGCACTGCGGCACAACGGCTGCCAGCTCCGAGGGCGTGGCCTTGCGGGCAGGAGCCGAGCCCAGGGCATCTCTCATCACCGAGAAATGTGGCCCCGGAGCCTGTCGGCCAGCGATTGCCACCTCTCTCCCTCTCCGCTCTGTCTTAGTTCGGGACAGGAGGGAGGGAAAGAGAAAAAGAGACGCGCGAGCAGAAGGAAACCTGGGAAGCAAACAGCAGGCAGTGCCCAAGGGGAGAGTCTGTGAGCGGCCACGCCTAAGGCAGCAAAAAGTGTGGGAGGAAAAATGGAGCCCAGGGGCACCCCTCTTACCTCTGCAATGGGTCGCGAGGAGCACCAGCGACAGAGAGACAAAGAGGAGGAGTTTCCGCATGGTGCCGCCGCCAGCAGCTGCCTCGGTCCAGGTTCTGGAACGAACTTTTCGAGACTCCCACACGCTCTTCTCGCCTAAGCCGCCGCAAAGTGCGATTGGTATCCTCTGCCCACTCCGGCTCTCTCTCGTTCACGTCGGTTTCCCGCAGAGCGTGGAGGCGCCAGCTGAGCCCTCCCCTCGCTCCGCCAGAGAAGCCCCGCAAAACAAGCGGCACCAAAGTTGCAGCTCCGCGGCTAAAAGAAACCGATCCGAACTGAACTCGCTCCAACTTGGGAGGCCCGCCTCTACGAGGCGATCGGCCAATCCCGAAAGGGAGCGGAGCGCCAGCGGCCAATGAGAAAAACTCTGGGAATCTCGGCCTTGCAGGCATCTGACAGCAAGAAAAAAGACCCGAGCGGAGCAAGTCCTGCCCCAAGTAATCGGAAACCCCGCTGGGGCGTGACTTGGCTTGGCTCGCCGCTGTCGGGGCGGGGGAACGGCTGAGTGGCTTTGCTGATACGGCGGCTGCCGCGTTTGCGGCACTTTGCCGCAGTTTGGATATTTGTTTCAGTAGCAGGACAATTGAGAGCTCAGCTGTCAGGGATCTTAAAACAGGCTGGCCTATCCTTTGATTGAACAGTATGGATCGGAGTAGGACGGGCTTGTTTATTAGAGCTATGGATAAAGTCTGTGATCCTTGAGAAGTAGCTAGTGCTCAACTCCAGAGAGGTGTGGTGGTTACAAGCTACCGAGACTTGGGTTCAAATTCTCCTTGCTCATTCCTCCCAGGGAACATATAAGCCTGGACAGGGTTGGAATCTTAAATGGGTGCGGCTGTGCTTCTTTAGGGTTACATATATGCATTGGCTTGGGAGTTCAGACCCTTCCTAGGCTTGTACGCTTGCTTCTGTGCAAAGTACTTACCTTGTGATCAGCCAGGTCCTCCAGCAGCTGTTCTAAGACTAACCACAGCAGGTGCCCACAGCACTTTCTCAAATCCTCAGATGTGCCCATGGGTCTGAAAAGGCTCTGGCTTTTGTCAATCTGCTTGGACTGTTCAGAAGTTTTTTTCTTATGTTCATCTGAAATCTGCTTTCCTGCAATTTAAGTCCATTATTTCATGTCCTAAAGTTTTGGATGATTGAAAACAGGTTGGGGCTGTCTTCTGTGTGGCACCCTTAATGTACTTGAAAGGTGGCCTTATATCCTTCATTCCTTCTCAAGGCTAAACACTTGCAGTTCATTGAATGCAGCCTTCTTCCTGCACATCTTGCCTCTCCTTTTCTGAACTTATTTGATTTTCTGTGAATCCATCTTAAAGCAAGGTGTCCAGAACTGGCCACACTATTTGAGGGCAAGTCACCTAGGACAGTGAAACTGTCACATTATTCTGAAATGACACGGCTTTGGTGCAATTGAATGAAATTACTTTTGCCTTTTTTGCTGACTCATACCCAGCTCGTGATCCACTGTAATGCCAAGATCCTTTTGACATGTTCTATTGCCAGACCAAGTATCCCCCACTTATAATTTCTTTTTCTTAAATAAATAACTTTGCACTTAGCTCCAGTAAACTTTGCTTTATTATTACCCCCCCCCCCCCAGTTTTCTATCCATTCAAGATCATTTTGATTGTTTTTGTTTGCAAAGGTATTGGCTATCCAACCCAATGACGTGCCATCTGCAAACCAGAGAGGCATTGCCCCAATCTCTTGTTTGACCTTCCTGTCCTGGAATCCTATTGATCAGTGTTGTTAGTTCATCGTAGTCCATTTTCCTGAAGTCCAAGGGACGAAGATGTTTTGATGGTGCTTCATGCAGGTTTAAATGCTTTCTTGGATACTTCAAAAGTATTGTTGAAAACAGTATCAATATGAATTTCTTCCAAATGCCTCCCACTGTAGTAACTATGTTTCAGTGGAGCCTCTGTAACCAGATTCCTCTGCAGCAGGTTTAAGATATTTTTTGTTCTATAAGACACGAAGACACACCTAGTTTTTAGAGGAGGAAAACAAGAAAAAAATATTCTGAATCAAATGGGCACATAATCACCGGCACATTCCCCATCACTTCCCCATGGGCTGCACATCTGACAGACTTACTGCACACACACATTCGCTCTATAAGACGCACAGACATTTCCCCTTACTTTTGAGGGGGGGAAAGTGTGTCTTATAGAGCAAAAAATATGGTACTTTTAGCACAATTTCAATAGACTGCAGATTTGATTGAGCAATCGTATAACTTTTCTTTTTAGATGGCAACATTTTCCACAAGCAGAAAATGCAGTAATTAATTTGAGTGTAGAAAGAATGAATTACTTTCCTCAATCTAGAACTGTAACTGCATTCTGTCCTTGAACCAATAGGCATATTGAAGAACTGTATTTATACAGCTCAACAACATGTGTTGTACCTGACTCCCCAGGATCCTGACATAATAGAGATACCTATCAGCTTTCTCAGGGCATTCAGGATAGGCATGACTCCTCTAGGCTCCAGATAGGCATGACACGGCCAAACACTAGAATAATCAGCTGTCTCAGGGTATGCATGATAGGCTTAGCTCTCCTAAGCTCTAGCCCATTCAAATGTCTAGTAACTGCCTCAGAGAATTCCCTCAGAAAATGGAAAAAGCTTACCAAAGACGTAATCAGCAAAGATTGCTTAGAAGGTGTAAATTAAAAGATAAAGCTTACTGCTAACCAAATCTGCTTCTGTATATCGCTTGCTCAACTGCTTATGTGATTCTGCAACTCCCCATTGTCACCATTGTTCTCATTCTTGTCAAAAACTGATTGTATTGTTCCCCATTTGCCGAAAGCGGATTGTGAAGGTATAAAGATCTCCTTCCAACTCTGTTCAAGCACCGCATTCTAACCATGAATGTTGGTCCCTGCCGCAGGAATAAATCTCCTCTTTACTTCACCATCCGGTCTCTGGCCTCGTCTGTAACACCGTGGGTACAACAATGTCCCTTTTTAAATTATATGTACAACTGTTCACATAAGTCAAAATATTTTCCATCTATTGGCTGAATTTCATACACTATTAGGAATCTGTGGGCAGAACCCACCATGGCACTACCCCCAAATAATAACATCCCAACTTAAATGCTGGGGGGGGGGTGAGGGGAGAATTAAAGGTTTTCCTGTTCATTTTCTAACATTTGTGTATTACATGTAATTAGTCCTCTGTTTAAAAAAAAAAGGCAGGGAGGAAAGGAATCAGGGGGCACCCCCTCCCCATTAGGGGGCCAGGGAGCTGCCTTCCTGGCCCTGGTAAAAACTATTTGCCTATTTAGGCAAAGCTCTCCAGGAACTGAGGAAGAGAGCTTGCACATTCCCTGCTTCCTGGTCCTCTTAACTGGTGACAACAGGAGCGTCGGCACAATAGCATGCTTCCTGGACCAGGAAGACATACAGCTTCCTACTGCTCCCCATCCGCACGGTGATCTTGTCCATGCTTCTCCCTGAAGGCATTTTAGAGCAAGGCATTGGCCCCAGCAGACACACCAGACTGCTGCACTGGCCGCACTACTTCTCAGATATTTGCAGTAACCAAAAGCAGTCTTTGCAGTTCTAGAGAGTCCATCCACTGAATGACCCCCAGGGGAATCCTAGCTGTCACTTTCCTTTCATGGTAAATGCTAAGAAAACAGCCCATCACAAAGACAGCTTTCTGGGTGGTTGATAGGGAAGGACAAGTCATCACCCCACCCAGTCCACTGCCTGAGGCAGAAGAGCTAGCCCTGAACAGCTGTGATTCAACTTCAAGCTTTATGTGTGTAAAGCATGCTCTGTTACTAAGAGCTCTGGTCTCTCCTCTGTTCACAAAAGGTGGAATATCAGCCTTTCCCCATCTGGTTCACTCTAGATGTGTTGAACCAAATGCTTATAGCCAGCTGGGGCATGCTGGGTGTTATACTTCAACACATCTGGAGGCAACTGCTTAGAGAAGGCTACTTTAAATCATAAAAAGTTTTTTCCCCTAAAATCTTAAGGTCCACCATGTTTTGAATTTCAAATGTATTAAATTTATCTAACACCAAACTGGATTTGATGTTCTTTAGTTCTCAAAAAAGATCTACCCTTAGTAGATCTTAATATAATTCTAGATCTTCACTCACATGAAACTAATGGGAGTGCATTCTTCTGTGTTTGTTGGTTTCCAGCTAAGTTAATTGGAATGCACCACTCCCAGCGAGCCTATCAGAAAAGCATTTAAGAGCAAAAGAGGCCTAAAAATCCCAGCATGCCCCAGCCAGCAAAGTTGTGAATTTGTGCCAGCATCATTTGAGATAGACTCTTGTGCTGCAGTGGATGGAAGATATTGCTTCATTTGGCAAAACAACAGGTCCATGTGGCTTAACTTATCGATTTTCCATTTCTGCTAAATGTTACTTCTTGAAGAGGGAAATAGTCTCTCAAGGATGCAATCCCATACATGTTTAGGCAGAACAATGTCCTATGTCTCCCAGCATGGCTGAAGAAAACTGGGACGCATAGAACCTTTTTCTGTATAACTGATTTATACAGAAAAGGGACCATCTTCTGTACTTGAGGGACAGATCTGTGTTGGGCATCTCTCCATCCAAAGGTATGTCAGCTCTCACTGGCCCAGATGGGAGACTGAACAGAGTTTTTAAAACTTTTCTCCTGTTAGTCTCTCTCTCTCTCTCTCTCTCTCTGTGCGTGCACGCGCATGCGTGCACGTGTGTATTTGCAATGGGGGACCTCCCTACTCCATCCATAGATAGGGATCACATTAGAAGAGGAAAAGGAGGATCCGGATCCAGCATATCCAAGGCTTCTCCCAGAGTTTCTCACCAGAATGCTGCAGGTTGAGATTGGCAGTACTCCTATGACCATTGTTTTGAGCACATATACTGGGAGACTCAGGGACTCTACTGGCACAAGGAGTCATTCTGCATTGTAATCCCCCCTTCAGCCATCCTGCCAAGAAGATTAGAGTTGTTCTGTTGGAAAGAACAGAAATATGTATTAGATATCATCACAAACCTTTTTTCTCCCAAAGTTGAAACAGTGCATTTCAGAGGCTCAATGCAATGCATTAAAAAAGTCCCTGCTCAGCATTTCTGGTGAGTGACGAAGACTCACTTGGTCTGACTCATTATCATATGGTAGCCATTCATTTTTTTTCCAAAGATTTAAGCATTTTTACAATTAATGCTATATGGAAAAGTGCCATGCTGTTGATAGCCCCTTCAACCACTATGTGATTTGTGCAGTATAATCCGGAGGATTTTATGGAATCATTTTAATGCTAGTCCTCTTTTTTCTTCTCAACTCTTTC